GAGAAACAGGCTTGGGGACCCACAATTCAAGGTTCTTCGTCGGTTTTATGAAAAGCAAGAAACGAAGCCGAGGCCGGTATACAACGTCGGGGGCGTCATATGTACAGACATACATACATGGAGAGGGAGTGACCATGATCCTCTCAAAGTGTAGTATGCAAAAACAGGCAATATGGTTTTTTTTTTTGACAATTCTCAAAATTTGTTGCCTAGTCATTTATTTTCTTTCTAATAGCAAAAATTAAGGATTTTTTTAAAAAAAGATTTATGAGTATTCTCGTCATTGGTTCTTTATTAGGCTCGAGCCCATGTATGTGCTGTTGGTTAGTCACCATGATCTTTTTACTATGTACTCGCTCAGTTCGGCGACGAGTTCCCGAGCTAAAAGTGGACTGGGGGATCCCTGCCTCATGATTTGAGATTCCCTCTCAGGGTTAAGCGGGGCAAGGCGTCTGGAAAGGCTGAGTAATGGAATCTAGCATCGACTTGAGCTAACGTGCGAAAGGTTTAGCCGGCAAAGCCCATTAAGCGAATTTTCAAGGGAGGTGCTGTCGGAGCCTCGCGATAGCTCCAACGACAATGCATCTGACGTCCACCATCAAGTCATTATGGTCCCAAGACCTCTTGTTTTCTAACCGACCAGAATCGGGAAAAAGATACAGGATTAATCCAGGGTGGAGAAGTAACCTGTGCCATCTGCGATCTTGTCCAAAAATAGAGTCGCCTAAGTTTCATGAATCGAAGGAAAGAAAGGGCGAAGCTAAAATGTTCGTCTGTTCTTGCCTAACTTTTTGGACCCTTGCCAACATGTCATCAATGTCATCCACATGTGTTCCTCCCGAGGTCAATTTCGGCGAAAGTGTTCCGAACAGAACGTAGGTTTTTTGTCGTTACTAAGCCTTCCCATACATATCGAGCTTTCCTCGAAATGGACGGACGCTTTTTGTTATGTAATTATTTGAATATCGACCCTCTTGTTTTTCCGGCCGTTTTGGCGATCAGACGAGTGGAACCAATCCCTAACCCTCCCTTCACACCCCAAGAAGAACTACGTGTATGCGAATGTATGAATTGAAGAATGTAAGACATCAATGGGAATCCTTCGTGGCTTGATCCTTCCCGTCATGCAATGTGCATATCGTTATACATAAGTGCACAAGAAATTCTAGAAAAATTGTCCACAAATTCTTGATCCCGTCTCCCTACAAGGAAAAATCGATATTCACAGCCCTACAAACTAGCTCGTCGAAACAAAAGCAATGGCCCGCCTACACAATCAGGGACTTAGGCTGTAAGGCAACTATACCCGAACAGCCTTAAGTTAATGAGGTTCCCAAAGGTTCACCCGTGATGCATGATATCGGTTTTTGTCCAGGCTTCCAAGCTTTTCTCGCCAACCCCCAAGAGTGGCTGCGCAGGTAGCAGGCTGCAAGAACACGGATCTCAATTCGACCCACATTTCCTCAAACCTCTCAGAGCGCTTTCCCAAACTCAAACAGCTTGCGTCATCTAAGTATTTTACAAGGACCAACAGAATTCGCGGCGCTTTCCTCGGATCTGCATCCGAGAAGCACAGCCGCAAAAGTGGCACCAACTCTACTATTACATGCGTGATATACTATCGTGAACACACAGCAACCATACGAAAGCCACATGAAAGTGGGTAATTTTTCTCTCTCATTCTCGAATAGAGAAAGAGTTTCCTTTTGTTCCCCTTTTGTGGCGGGATAAACGTTCTGGAAGAAGTAATCTATCGTCCGAGAAAGATAAGTATGCAGCATGCTAGCTAGTTAACTGACCGAAGAGGTTCGTGCGGCTGTAGATATCAGCAGTTCGGATGGCCGTTGTCTATTTTCATCTCATGCATATGGTCAACCACTGCATGCTGGCTCCACAAGATACCCTTGATTTTCCAATTCTGCGTTGTATCGCCGATCCAACAAAAGGGTTGATATAGAAACGTCGACTGTAGATGTTAGACGAAGTGGGTCGAGAATCATAGCTTTATCGGGACCTTTCCGGAAAAGGAACCCTGTGTTACGATGTTTCCCGTCGGTTCGCGAACTCGCCCTTGAAGCTAGAAAAACCGCCTTGCATACCCTAGAAAATTTATTGTAAAATATTATAAAATATCGATCCTGTCTGCCTTGCTGCTGTACCTGGATTCCATTCTAACCGAAACTTCCTAGATATTTGAGACCGTGCAGATAATACTACTCCTCGTATGGGACTGTGGTTTTTCTGCATACTGACTACCGACTCGTTACTTATCAGGATACGTACGTGGACACGTATTTGAAGCTCGTGGGGATCGACATGCATCGTGCAGTGTCTGACACGCGGCGTGGACAGATATCCCTTTGGGCGGCCTGGGTACGAGACCAGCGTGGACCCCAAGTTGACTTGATATATTGAAATTCCCTTCTTCTTCGCACCCACAGCTATTCCCTACATGTATACAGGAAAACCGGCTGACCTTTCAGGTAAATCGACCACCAAGCAAAGGGTTTCGAACCAGACACTACGCAATATTAATGTCATATGGCGAAAAGATATGAGGAAATATTGAACTTACTGCACAGACATGCCTTCAACGGTTGCCGGTTGGACCACCACACCACCTTTTCGATCAATCAGTTACAGCAACGAATATTATTATGCCACCCCGGCTATCGGAAACCCGACTGTCCATGATCCTTCCGCGAAGCAAGAGCGCTAGGAAATGGCAAAGTTGGCCCTCGATGTATACATATAACGATATATATATAACCATCGTACGATAGTGCCCAACACCCGCTTGCGGGAGCGCCTGGTCTCGAGACTAACCCACTTGCGAGGTAATGATTCACCGATACATATCGACCTAATAAACGGCTGCCACGCCCCCTTTGTGACATCTGGAAACGAGACCAGCTGCCACCACCTATAGGTACGAGACAACTACCTATACTATATTCTTAAGACATTAGTTGGATGCAATTCTGGGTCGGCCATGATAAGACGCGATAACTACCAGTATGCTGGACCTGGTCTCGTTCCCAGCCTCAGGGTGGTCTGTGGTTTTAAATCTTTATAAACCGTTATGACAGCTGCAACGTATGACTGGAAACACCACGATCTTCGCAAAGCATAGAGCTCGGAAACTTAAACAAAGTTATGCATACGTGCGTGAAATTCTGATAACCCAAATGGGGTCGGCCACCAGATGCAGTGTCTAGGCGTCTCCTATTAACAGACAGGAGCGTTTTTAACAGCATGATATCCAGTAAATGTAGGCATACGGCCCTAGTATACACACATGGGCAAACTAGCCTTAGAAACCCAACCCGTGCACGGCTATCCCGGACAGCTATAGTCAGCTTCGGCACCAGCTTCACTAAACCCATGTATGAAATAGCGGGGCATCACGGCTCTCCTTGTCCTAGCATTGGGAGACTACAGCTCTAGCTTCCCTAATTAAGGAAGAAGTAGAAGGAGAAGGAGAAGGCGAGAATGCGATCCTAGGTAAGTTTTCTGCGCAGATCTGCCCCCCATTTACCCTTTCTTCAGAAGAATTACTATCCATTGGTAGTCTTTCTGGGGGGGAATCTTCATGTAAAATGGTACCTGTCCCACATCCAGTGCTTGAATGACGTTGCTAACCGGTGAAAGTAGATTCAACAAGTGGATGCCACGCAAATCCCGGACAGTATGCATCCACGTAGTAATATATATAGAATCCATCGCGCAAGTTAGGCCTCAATTATGTGATCATTATATAAGCGAACCCGAGTTTCTTTCCCGAAATTACAAACAGCAAATAGTTCCTCGGACAAAGAGGCGGCCGGCTGACATTGCTCCTGAGTTTCGTCGGGAACCTCAACCTTATGGATCGAAACATATACTTGGCTGTTATTCAATATTGACATGGTCTATAGATGGCCTAGGTGTTTTCCGATCCATGTGATTTTCTCTTGAATTCGAAGACAGCAGATATTCTTCATATATGTTGCGATTTTGTGCGACACTGATATATTTTATCTGTGCACATTTGATGGCGTGGGTAATAGGCTCAGAGGTGAATAAAGCTAAGAAGAGGGGCTGGTCGAAGCCACCCTCGACGAGACCATCTAGCAAGTTGGGGATAACTACCACGAAAACGGTCAGGCTGCGGTAAAAACGTGGTTTAGTTTGACAGTGATGTTGCTACTATATAGATAATTAATTGTGAATCTATTCTTCGGTTGGATATTCATTCTTGATACAAAAGGGATCCCGGGATGGGCTCTCAGAACGATTGGAAATTAATTAAATGCGCACTATGCCCTTACTATGGCTGTCCCTAGAGATATCTTGGCCTCGAATGCGAGATACCTAGCCAATATGCAATAGAAATTTGACACAGAAGATTTGACCATGTCAATGAGCTGACTATAAAGCTTCGAAGCTTGTCAAACTAATATATGTCAATATAATGGCTTTCGGTAGCGCCAAATTTGCAAATTCCTACTAGTTTAACTGTGGAAGCTGTATTCTCAGGAGACAACGTGGGGCCCTTTCGCATAGTCCTATTGCACGTTTTGGGCAACCGGGTTGTACAACTTGGGGTGACGCGACCTGTGCGGTCCGTTCCCTGAAGGTATAGCTGGAAATAAGTATCTTCTGCTACTACAATACAAAGGGACTGGCTGTGGAAATGGAACTGAACTGGTCTCGTTCCCAAACTGAACTAGTACTAGAAAGGATTAAGCTTAAGCGAGCGCTAGGGGGATCAACCGATGGACATGTGGCGGCGGCCATACATGTCTGGTTTGCATTTAAGCTGAATTGGCCTAGAAATGGGACATACAGTCGCCAGGTTATCCCTCCTACAATCGTTATAAGTTATGATGGGAACTCTTTCACAGGTGGCTGGTACCGGCCCTTTCAACGGTGAATTTCATAAAAAAATACATATCTAACACATGGAACAAAAAAAAAAAGTTGCATATTATCTGGGGTCAGAGGTCGGTAACTATGACAGCCCGATGTGGGGGTCGAACCCACAGCCTTAAGATTGCCATGGAAACAGGGTTTAAACTCCCGTAACCTAAGAGTCTTACGCTCTACCGATTGAGCTAACCGGGCCTTTCTTGGTTGAAGATCGACGATTGGCATTTTTCCACGCCAGAGGGACGGGATACGTTTAGCCATATCGTCGGCATCTACGCACGATGTGATTAGGCTTGCTTACTTGGCCTTGCTAGGACCCGGATTTAAATTACCCCCTGCCTTGTGGTGTGTATTCTAGCAGTCGGGGTATCTTGATATGGGGTAGCCTTGAATCTACGATATAGTGGCGGCAACCCAACTTGGGGATCCAACAATGGCCCCGCTACTGTTGTTGCTACCACGGTGGCCACTACAGCCGCTGCTACCATTTCTACCTCACTGTATACCTGCGCATAACAATAAGATACAATATGTAACTTCATTCAGAAGGAGAGTGGGCGGGATCCTGTCAATCTGGTTCGCAGTTGAATTTTGCAACTCATTCGTGTAGTGAGTTGCAATATGTTGGATTTTAAATTTTCGGGCTGGCCAATCATGCCCCGGTTTCGTCTAATTATGCCTGTCATTGTGCTGATCACATGACTAATATGGAAGTTTAAGCGAGGCAATAATTTGGTGTAGCACAAGCTCGAGAGGGTGCATGTAAGGGGAGCTTGTGGGACACTGCAGTGCCGTTCCGGTTCCTTACATGTTTCGCTCCTTCCTCCTCAATTGCCTAACGGTTTGGCATTAGTGCGACCGAGACTGGCATAGTCAAAATCCGTGTAATATTGAGTTCAGCATCAAGTTATATCCATATCTACATAGTTCTGGAGCTAGTGTTCAGATATACCCAGATCTGCAATTGCACAGTGCACCGCAGATCGAGGTTTCATGGCCTCATTACGTGGTACACATCATGGGCCCCGTGGCGGAATTCCTTCTGAAGAGCATGGTATTGACATGGATCAGGTTCGATTTGCGCGTGCGTGGATATCTTGTGTACTCTACAGAATTTTTGACGTGTCTTGCATGATTGGAAGTTTAGGATTTTCTATAAAGCATTTTTGTATATGATATACCAATGATAATCTAGTCAGTTCCAAAGACTCTTCGCTACGTATATCAAGAGAATGCTGTATCATCCATGAAGGGTCTTTAGCACTCTTTGGCATCTGCTCTAAAAATATATACATGTAGAGCATTCTGTGTGCACCAGAGTATACGTAGCTTTTAGGAACTAGGGTGTTTGATAGGGTGTAATAAAAGGCACATGCATAGCTTAAGACTATCTTGTGATAGATAGAGTCTCTTTCTAGAAAAAAGAGCAATTTTTCGGTAGGGTGGTAGGATTAATTTAATGTAGATGGATCGTTTTCAGTCTCCTTCCTAGGATCAATATTAAGATGTATTAAGATAAATACGTCACGAATTCGATACTTTATACTCTATTATTTGGACGAACGCTTGAATCCTAATACTCTCGCTAGGGTTGGTTTGCGAGTTTACAAATAGCCTGATAAATGTGCATGGTGCACAGGGGTAAGATAAGCAAGTCGACGTATGTGTGGGCTCGAGGCTAGGTCGTGGCAGCCATTGAGCGAATCAACTGTCTTGCGTGGAACGTGACGGTTGTTCTCGAATTTTGTATGAAAGTTTCTACTCTTCGAAGCCGACTTGGCTCAAAGCCGGCCATGGCGCTAACTCAGTTGATTGAGCCGAAGTGGTCGAGTAGGGGGTATATTCTATAACTTCCCCAGATCCTCTCTTCCCGCCGTTTTACCAGTTATAGGGGCGTGGTTCTGTTATAACCTGGTATGTATGTACAGGAATTTGTATTCGCGTCTAGGTATCTATGCAAACGATCATACCTATACCGTGGGTTTTGTATAAATTAAATGGGAGCGACCGATTACTCAAAGTTGGGTAGGCGCTTCCAATCGGAACCTGATGGGCTGGCTTGACCGTTTTAATTTATTACTCCAACTGTGTCTTTTCGTTGATGCCCGTTGCCCTGCATCCTGCACTTGGAGAGTGTGTGTGGTATTTTGCTGTTGGTTAGTGGTTTCTGGAGTTCGAAGGCATCTCGGTAGCTTAGCTTAAGGAGCAAAGCGAACCGCTCCCCTCGCCTGCCCAACCTTATGCACGAACCAATTTCCGAGATCGAGCGGGGCGTCGTACATGTGCATAGCTCTGAAACTCCCAACGGCACGGAGAGCACCATATGCACATGTGCAATTGTTTTCCCGTTGCGACCGACGGTCTCGATTTTTTTCGTTCTGGGCAGCGTGCTTTGACTAGTACTAACTGGAGCTTCACATGCGATGGAGCTAACAGCCGACCAGCGCTGAGCTCGGACTGCTGCTGTTGGAAAGCTCAACCTCTTCGTCAAAAACACTCGATTGAAGCTTCAGGCTCTCCACGGAGGTAACTGAATATCATGTACTGGCCAACCTCTCAACATTCGCCATCTTTTGTCATCTTACGAACCTCCCTTCCAGAAGGCGGTTAGCCGCCAGCCAATGTTCCAAGCATATCACTGCAATCGATCGAAATTTCTGCACAATGTGGGGGTATGAGGCTCTCTCTTGCATTATCTATAGTGCTCAGATAAATTGACCCGTTTCTGCTAAAAAGGTTCCCAAAAGTGACGTCGCGAACCCCAGTCAAGTGCAATATGGACTTTCCGGCTTCCCGCTTCTATATGAGGAGACAGAGCCCTGGCATCGAGCGGCCGAGCGCTAAAATGATCTGGTGCTTTGAAGAGCTGTCACTGTCAGCCCACCAACTCACCTTCGGCCTGTCGGTCTCCAACAATGTTCGCTCGCACATAACGCAACCACATGTTGGTGGGACGGGACTTTTTTTTTTGTTAAAAATAGCTGTGGGATCGAGAGTAGACCAGCGGATGGCACTTTGCCCTTGCAGCTTCGAAAAAGGTGTGGGCGCGTATGCGAGAAATTTTCCTGGGGCCCCTTTGATTGGCCAGTCGCGACAAGGCAATCGACAGAATCTCAAAGCCAAGCCGTTCAGCTGGCCACTCACGTCCCGTCTTTGACCCAGATTTTTGAGCACAACCCCGGTAATAGTCGTAGGGATTAGAGTCCCTCAGCGAATCAACTGAGGGGTCGTCGTTCGTTATCTGGAAAATCGCCTGAAAAATTGTCATGTTTGCGCATCAGTCCGGGGAGTTAGGAAGCTGTGAAGCCCTACCATGGAGAAATCCACTGTTCCCGACCTCTCGAGGTGGCATAGGCGCCTGCAATTTACACAAAGAGAGCTTGCCCCTCAACCTCTTTTTTTTATATTTCTTTTGTTCTAGACAGCAGAGTACGTTGGCGCATTTTAATCCAAAGGTTCCCCAGGATTCTGACGAATCGCAGGCCGTATCTCCATCTACGCCTGAAGCTGGATTTGCATCACGGTGCGCTCGCGTTCATGCATGCACGCTCTCTTATAATCCACAAAGGCCCATCATTCCATGCTTTTTTGGACATCATTTTTTCATTTTTTTCACTAACAGTTCCAAAAGAGTTTACGTCGAAGTTTCCTTATTCCTTTTCTCCTTTTGACAGTTCAGTTCACCTGCAGGAAGGGTTATAGATGTTGTGGTTTTGATGTTGGACGTTAATCTCTCGACTCGGACCAAGAACTCGAGAAGAGAAAGGCCTCGCCTCGAGTAATACCGACTGCAACTGCAACTGCATATACAATTTTTTAATCCTTTCGTTTTTTTCTCTTCGAATCTTAATTTCCAACCGGACGAGTCTCCTATCCTTATTCTTCTTCAAGTGGCGTCTGTCGCTGGATCGGTAGAACAAAACTTTTTGGAAGCTTGTCATCCTTTTCTGGTCTGACTGGTTTCAGAGGTTCTCCTTCTTCCGCCGATATTACCCGCCCCCGTCCGCCACCTCTTTTTCTCGACAGCTTCGGACACTCAACCTCTCCTTTGGTTTGTTTTATATCAGAAAGGTATGCTCTTAACATTCGACCTCATAGCTCCTCGATGTAGCTAACGATCACGTTGAATCCCACAGTCCTAATTATGCATTATTCGATATTTATTTCTGCCATTGTTGGCATTTCTTCGGTCCTGGCCGTCAATTTTGGGGGACGGGATTTGCCTGGATGTGCCGACGCTTGCTATAAGACCGTTCTCGGACAACCTGGACTATCGAAATGTGACAACAAGGTCTTGTGTCTTTGCGACGACTATGTCATCTTGAATAGTATGCAAGACTGTTTGAACCGTACCGGCGACTGTGGGGACAACCAGTACCGGACCGACACGATCTATGATATCCAGGATGTCTGTGATGCGGTTATTTTGGCAGCCGCGCAACCGTCGACATCCGCTAGCACTTCTGGAAGCAAGGAACAACCCGCACCGACAGAATTGCCTGAGCCCACAAGTCTTCAAGAGGCCGAAGGACGACTGGGAGCAAGTGCTTCCGCCTTAATCAATGAACAACCTTACCGACTATCTACTGGGGCAAAGGCTGGAATCGCTATCGGATCGGTTGTTGGCTTCTTCATTGTCGCTTTTATTGGTATATGCTGCGGCTGTTACCACTACAAAACCCACGTCATCAATAAATTCAACAGGGGTATCCAGAATTCGCCAGCAATGCCATATCCTGTTGAACACACTGATGACAAAAAGGGGGGGCACAATTCATGGTTCGCTGCTGGTGGCGGCCTCAACATTAAAAGCCACATTCGTAAAGCCACGAATGATAGTCATGAATTGGGGTACGGATTCGATAAAGAACTAGGCCTGATGATATCAGCCCCTTCAAACCCCCGTAAGTACACGACGACTAAAATACAGACAGTAGATATCCCAGAGACGGAACACACAATACCCCGGGCACCGGCCCCGGCAGTCTTCCCGCATAGAAATCGAGTGAGCCCACCACCTCTCAGCCCTGCGAGGACAATGTCATTGGGCAGCGTCCGGGCGGCGCAAAGGCCGTCCCTGACGCTCAGCCCTTCGAGTGCTGTCTTTCCGCAAGCAACTATCGAAGAGTATACACCGCGAAACAGTATTAGGGTATCAGTACAGAGTCTTCAACAAAAAGGTCACCCTGGTCCAA